GTCTTTTTCAGTTTATCATTGTTTCAAGTATTCGGTGTAAGAGAGATTTGTTGCCAAAGAATAAGGGGGAGAATTACATTTTTAAGTGCAAGAATGCTATTTGGTCTTTTTTTATTTTTTTCTTTTTTGGAGAAAGTTTTGCTGTAAGGCGCATGTGCTCGCCAGAAAGACAGAGAGACAGAGAGACAGAAAGCAAGAAATCACACCTCCAAGGGGGAATGGCCACACTGCAATCCCTTCTTCCATTCTCCTCTCGGGATCTTGGGCACACACGCACACGCACCCGGCGTGAGTTTGAGCCTCCGGGTCCAGGACTCAAACCGCGGTCAACTGCATGGGAGTCCAGCAACATAGCCATTATGCTAACTGCTGGTCCCCGATTTTGTCTTTAAAGTACCATAGTCAATGATTGAAAATGGAATGGTCTTATTGTAGAGCTGATATCCTAAGGCTTATCATTAGTAATTCTATAAAAAAGCATTGCTACTTTAAACATAGAATGCCAAAGTAGAATTATAGGCATTTAATGAAAGTATATGTGATATAATTCCAGTCCTCAGTATATACCCAGAATAATTGAAACAAAATTTTGTATATGAATGTTCATAGCAGCATTATTTACAATAGCCAGAAAGTAGAAACAATCCAAACCCAAACATTTATCAACAGATGAATGGAATAAACAGAATATAATATATCCATACACTTGAATATTATTCAGCAATAAAATTGAAATACTGATTCATATTCAAGAAGAATGAACCTTGAAAACCTTATGCTAAGTGAAAGAAGCCCAACTCAAAAGACCACATTCTGTATGTTTTCATTTATATGAAATACCCATGATGGACAAATCCATAGAGATAGAAAGCAGATTAGTAGCTGTCAGGGGTTGGGCCAGGAAGGGTGAATGGGAAATGACTGCTTGATGGGTACAGGGTTTCCATTTGAAGTGATGAAAGGTTCTGGAACTGGATAGTGGTGATGGTTGCGTAATACTGCATTTAATTCCACTGAATTGTATATTTTAAAATGCTCAACTTTATATGTATTTTATCATAATAAAACTGGAAAATAATTTTTATTCACATACACCAACTGTCCTTAATAGTAATTTTAATTTATTAAAGAAGAAACAATTAATAAAAAATATAAAGAAAGAAATGCAAGTAAATTATAATTACACTCTGAGATAACTACTGTTAACAGTTTGGAATATTTCTTTCCATTCTTTATCTGTGTCTTTGTAATAACAAATAGGCATATTTGGTTAGTAACTGAGGTCATGTTGAATATATAGTCACTAAGATTATAGGGAGGTCTCTGCTTATGATATTTGCTTACATGTAAGTTAATTATATTATGAATTACTTTTTTGAAAAGCCAGCCTATATTATGAAAGTATATGCTTCACTTGGAGAAATTTTATATTACACATAGATACAACTTTTCTTCTAACAATGAAACATACTCCATGCCAGGAATATCTAATTTTATGATATCCTGAAATATAAAATTCTGTATATATTTATGCAAGGAGATTTTAATAGAGCATTTTAAAGTACAATGAGGATAATGAGTATGTTTTATATAAGCAAAAGCACCTAATAAAGGCTTTTGTAGTGGAAGTACAGGTTGAAAGTTGACCTCCACTGGTGAAGTGTGTTACTACAGTAGAATTAAAGGAATGAAAATGCCTAGATCAAAACAGGAAGTGGACAAAGTCTAGAAGTCCCAAAGTGTGGAAGTAGGTAACTCCACTAACAAGAGAGATCCCTGTGGTCATGAGAATGAGGAACATGACCAGTGGTAATAGCAACCTAATTTGCTGATGGTCAGGAAACAAACAAACTGCCATAGGGCTGGTTGTCATTTTACTATCTTTTTCAAATCCAAAGGTTTAACTCCATTTATTTGGGAATTCTCTTTTAGTAACATGGCCTCTGATTTTATAGTTAGTAGAAAGGTGGGATGTAATTCAGACCTTGTTTTAGGGGCTGTTTGATTATGTGAGGACCATTTGACAAATAGTTTCACAAGTGGGTATAATTACAGATGCTCCTTAGCTTAGGATGGGGTTACATTCTTGATAAACCAATTGACAGTCAAAAATATCATAAGTCAGAAATGCATGTAATAACCTGATAAACCCTTTGGAAATTTGAAAATTTTTAAGTGAAACCATCATAAGTCCATATGCCTTTTGACTTACTCCTACTAAAACCCTTGTAGGGCGGGCCCATAGTACAGTGGTTAAGCACTGTGCACAGGGAACCAGATCCCACATGCCTGACCATGGTTTGAATTCTGCTCCCCCGACTCCTCCTGGCGGCTTGAAAACTATAACAGATATGGGTGCTCATGAGCCCCAAATCCTGAAAGGATGCAAAAAATGGAGGGAAAGGATTGTGGATAGTTACACCCCGTTAGGGGGTGCTTTCTTTCTCTCTTTGTCTCCTTCTCTCTCTTGTGTACCCTCTGGCAATTAAAACAAATTTACAAAGTAAAACTCATAAAGTAAAAAAATATGTATATATTAAGTCAAGCCATCATAAATTGTGGCCCATTGGTAATTTCAAGTCAACATTGAATGGACAGAATGATCATGAATGCTTTCATATGCTGTATTTCCCCCAAATAGTAATTATAACATTTAGAGGGAGTGGCTATGGGTAGCTTCTCAAGGAACTTGGGTAGTCATTAAAAATAATAAAACCATCTACAAAAGACTGCAAAGACAAGCTGGAGCAGTGACCCCACCCTTCTGAGAATTGCTGATCATTGCCTCCTTCATCATAGTCTACTTATTGCCCTGGTAGGTACAGGAAGAATGAAGAGTGGATAATTTGAGAAAAATACTCATTAACTGATAAATTGGAATATCTACCTACAAGACTAAAATGGTTCTTAAATGAGGAAAATTGCTCCCCTAGGGAGAAATCTGACATGATATGCCTTATGTTTGAGCATAAAATCTTAACACCATTGTTCCGTGTTCATCAGTTGGCAATAATTTTTTAATTCTGAATGACAGAATGATTGACAGACACGGTGCTTTGGAAAGAAAGAGAAGCTCATGCAGGATGTTGGAGCCCTCCAAAATGACATACAGCCTAGAACTTTTACAGCTCAACTGTTTGGGAACCATGTTTCCTTAAAAAAAAAAACAAACAACCCTGAAGGATATGAAACATGACATTTCAATGTTTGGAATTTGACTTGAGAGGTGATTCTATGTGTGTCATTGCATTCAGGATGATGTAAATGAATAAGCTTTTTGTTTGTGGAAGAACTTGTACAGCAAGTATGCTACCAGTGATTTTTGTGGGAGCTAATGTAGCAATTTGCTGACAGAAGTCAAAATATTTTCTAAACTACAGTCAGGCATCTTTTACTTCTGTGCTTTAGAGAGATTATTTGAAAACTAGAAAAAGAAATACTTTCTGTGTTCTAAAGTAGACCCTTATATCATATTCAGTAGATTAATGACATTTTCACAAACTATAAGTCACTTTTTCCTGTATCTAGCTCCTTGTATCGCTCATATTTCACTTGTCTATAAAGCTATCACTTGGGCAATACATTGTGGTCCTAAGACAGACTGCTCCTTTTTACCACACAACATATATGTGGAATCAACCCATGCCAGGGTCGGGTTAGCTGGCATAATTCTTGTGTGATGCCAACAATCTATCCCTGGACTATAAAGCAAGACCCTAACCCTTAGTCTTGCTCTGTCTCAAAAGTGCTAAAGCATCTGTCATTGAACATGAGCCTTATGGACTCCAGTTATTCAGAGAATTGTACTTCACTTTAAAAGCCAACTCCAAAACATACCTCTTAGAGTGATCACAGTTCCATTTCTAACATGTTTGGTTGCAGTTAATAATAGGGTATTTTGTAGCAACCTTCATGAGATGAATAAATTATCCCATACATTTTAGAAGTTAATGTTCTTTTACCCTCACTCTTCCCTTTAAGGTTTACATTTTTCTTAAGCTCCTCTTAATATACCACTGAAAACAGAGTTTCCATTCATACACAGATGGTTAGCATGACTCACAAAGTCACTAAGTAAAATGACTTCTGTTGTATATGTTCTGTTTCCCCCTTGGTTATTTTTTCCCAACTTTGATATATACCGTGTTTTGCCTCTCTTCTAACTTAAGATTACTGTCTTTAAAAATAACTGTCTGGGCTTCATATATCTAGGAAATGCTTTTCACAGTATTTTCTCAGGAACTTAGAGATTTTTGTATAAGATGTCACTATTATTACAATAATTTAGTCTTTGTCTTGATGCTCTACTTTAAATGTTTTTTCAAGTGCTGTAGAGCATTGGGAAAGGAATGCTTCACTCTTCCTGGCCATCTAGGAAGAATTTGCTGTGCATCAACAAGTCAATGTATAAGAAGCCTAGTGGAGAAGCAAGCCATACAAAGTAACTTCTTAGAAGGTGATTTAATGCATAAAAATTTTTATAGCTATTGATACCTTTAGTGAAATGGGCTGCATAGTCCATTTTCAGACCTCCTCCAGTTGCTTCCTGCTTTCTTCCCACTGTGTTGTTGGATGGGAGGAAGTTTTCTGCATCTTCCCCAATAATCTGCACTCTTTTTCCCTGCCCCTTCCCTAGCAGTACCATTATAGTCTATTCATTCATGTACGGTTTGCGCACGCACGCACAAATATGTGTGTGTGTGTGTGTGTGTGTGTGTGTGTGTGTGTGTTTAATAAAAAAGAGTGCTGACTTTTGAAAAATGAGGAGGCTTGGGTTCTGTTCCTGATAATCACTGCCCAGCTCTGACCTTTCTGGACCTCAGTTTCTTCACCAGGAAGATGAAAAAGTTGGACTAGGTAATACTTAAGGTCCCTTTGGACTCTGATAGAATGTGGTCTGTGGCTGACTCTGTTTTTAAAAATGGCTCCTGTTACATTTGACATAGAGGGAATGAATCACCACTAGTCATTTAGAAGTCCTAAGAAGTGTCTTAATTTTTTAAAATATACTTTTACTGTCAAAAATTGCCAATGCTGACTATATTGCAAGTCATCATGGCAGGGTATTGGGAAAAGTTTTCAATTAGCAATAACCACACTTCGTATAAACTTCATTGGCTACAATACTCCCACTGTGCAGTAGTTTCTTAATTTTTAAAATGGCCATATCAGCTTAAAAATAAGTAACAAGTGAAAAATAGTTCAATTTTAAAAATTGTACATTCTACGGGGCCGGCAAGTGGCGTGGTGGTTAAGGGCGCTGGACTCCCACATGGCCAACTGTGGTTCAAGTCTTGGACCTGGTGGCCTGCTTTCTCACTTCCTCTCTCTCTATCACTCTGTCCCTCTCTTGTAAAATTAAAATAAATAAATAAATAAAGTTATTTTTTTAAAAAAGGAAGTAATCACCAAAAAAAAAATTGTACATTCTAGATTTCTTTTTCACAACAGAATTCTGTTTAGGAGGACAAATACTCTATTTTAAGCCATTAATGCCTCTTTTATTACTGTATCAAAACCCTGTTTTAAGTCAACATTATATATTTAAGTCTAAATTATGCAGTTCCATTGGAGAGTGATTATTCACTTTACAGAATAGATATTTTACTTTGCAGAAGGGCTCACTATAGGTTTTATTTTTTTATTGTCTTCCACATGACTTTAAGATTAATTCATTTACATAAATTCAGCCCACATGTAACAATTTTTTAGGAACAAATCTCAGCCATATTGAGTCAGATACTCAATGTGCAGTTCTAACTTGAATATAGTTTTCCTCAGTTTCTTATCAGGCAAACTACATTAGTTCATGTTGGGTATGTTTGCCAAGAGGTGATTCTCCCTTCCCTCCAGGCCTTTGAAAAGTAAAGTAAGTCACGTCTCTAGTTTTAGAAAAAAATTTATAGCATTAGTTTTCTTACCTGTAAATTCACTCTTTCTTAACAGAAGAGTGCATGCCAACAAAGCAAATCAGTTATGGAACCGTATACCACAACAGTTAAAAACAGGATGTTGCCAATTAAATATATATGCAAATAAACTAGAATGAAAGTCGAAGGTGTACAACATAAGGTAATGTTCTTTGTTGAAGATGATGAATATGGTAATACCCTTGATTTGATTATCATACACTGTATACATGCTTTGTAAAACATACTGCACCCCACAAATATGTACAACAAATAATGTAAATAACATTTTTAAAAAGACTACCACCATAGCCAAAAAATAAAAATAAAAATCACTGTTCCTCCTCTTAAAAAAAATTATAGGAATGCATTTTTTCTAAGTTTTGATGAAAAGCAAGCTTTTTATTTAAAGGTCACCTGTGTTGCCTGAACTTTCCTTGGGAAGCTTCAGGATGTTCAATTTTTCTGGAATGCTCATTATAATTAATCATTTCAGAGAATTGGTTTTTTTCCTTAATTGCACTCTGAGCTGTCACTTGTTCCCTGCAAAACCGTAGAATAAGAACATTTCCTTTCATCACAAATGATATATAAACATGTTTGGCTTCATAGCTTTTCAGTACACCTCTTCATTAGCCATGCTTTACATAAAATTTTACTAATTCTTTAAAAGTTCATGAGGGTGATTATTAAATAGTTCAGGTATTTTAGAAATGTGTGTCAGCTACTAGTTAACATAAATGTTATCAGATTGTTCGGTGGCCTTTGTGAAATAAATTGGCAGGCTTGTGTTTCTGATAGACAGATCTCTAAGTCTCCTACATGAATCAAAATTGGCACTAATTGGTCCTTTGGTAAGCTCTGCAAAGCTAAGAATTGGTCCATGGAGACTGAACTAATTTTTAAGCTAAAGGTGACTAATTTGTAGGGATTTTAAAGAAAATCAACACATATGTATTTTGGTCAAGAGGACCTTTGCAGTTTTCACACAATAACAACAGAAAAAAAACTAAAGAAAACTTCAGGTGATGATGAAGCAGAGTTTTTGTAGTTGAATATGTTAAAAGGTTCAAGGGATGACTTTGCAATCAATTATCCCTTTTGATTTATATTCCTAGTATTTCCCTTCTAAAAGCTTCTCAAAGGATATTTGAAAGCAAGGACAGCTACAGGAACTGGTTAGATAGTAGATAAAAGCAGCCTAAAATATAGTCCTTGGTTATATCTCAGTTCAGGAGGAAAATACTTTTTAAGTCATTAAGGTAAGCATTATCACTAGGATTACAAATCATCCTTATTATTTTCTTGTAATACAAGTGTACTAATTTTATAAACAGAAAGAAAGTAACTAATATTTATAGTTTTTTTAAGGTTTACAAAAGTGAAAATTACTGAGCAAAACAAAAAAAACTGAATTGCAACAACACTTTTTAAAATCTACAATTTGGCTAGATTCTAAAGGGATTATGTTAATTAGGTGGGCACCTCTAGAACTTTAGGCTTGCTTCTCACATTGGTGGGTCAATCAAAATGATACAGTTTCAACTATAAGAATTTGATAGGCAGATCTAGATCACATACAGTATAAATTATTTTCTGGTAGTATCAGATTTGGAGGATGTAGTTCATTAGTATCTATACAAATTATTATCAACCTCTGTGATTAAAATCTTAATTTTACTTGCCTAAAGAAGAATTATTCAAGAGGATTATTTGAAGTCTTTTCATCCTTTGTATTGAATTTGATTTCATTGAGAAAGAGGAAGTCACTGTTTTCAGAAGGCTGACTTGGGGTGGAGCAAGGGTGGGGGTGACCAATGGGTGCAAGAGTGGAAAGTGATGTGCAGTGGATTTTGTGCTTTTAAGTGAAAGGGCACACATTGAAATCTTTTCCCTCCTAAGAACATAAGAAATGTCAGATTCTGGATCAGACCCATGGACTGTCCATGTCAGTGTGTTTCTGTCTGTGGTACCCAGGGCTGTTTTGTAAGAGCGCATGTGTGTCTTCTGTGATGCCTCTAAAGGTTGAGGCAGCGGGTGGAGAGGTGGTGCCAAACATCCTGAGCTCCTCTCATTAGAAACAGTCCTTTCATTCAGTTCAGTGGGACTGGCATACTGAGGCTGGCAGGTCACTCTTATGTGGATGGCCAGGAACTGGCTGCTTTGTTAATTGCAAAGCAGATTTTGCCAAATTATTTCATCTAAAAAGACACGTCAAACGACTTTTGATTCTTTGACCTGGTATTTTTTTTATGTTATTTGGGATGAACTCACTGAAGATGAATGGAGTAAGGCATGGGCATATTGTTATAGGGAAACCCAGCATGTGGTTCTGAAAAGGGGGAAGAGTGGAATGGACTGTGGCATTTGCTAGGACAGGGTGGCATCTGAGGAACTGCATTAGTTCTGTTGGCCAGGATACGATTAGTGAAGATGTGGCTTTGAGGACCATGGAGGTTAATTGTGGACCCAAATGGTCAAAGGTTTTCATAGCATCAACTTAATTTTAGAGTTCATGTTATACTCATTTATGCTTTTAGCCAGGTGACTTATTTATGTTTCAGCATATTGAGATTGTTGGTTTATAGATTACGTTCACAAGTAAAAGTGAAACCTTTTGTAGTGCTGCTACTAAATTACGAGCCTAACACTTGCCATGTAGACAGACTAGGGGATATTAAGCTTTGACTATGCAATTGTGAGGAACATAATATGAACTATGTATTGTGACAGGGTGGGAGAAGGCACTTTTAAAAATGTTCTTGTGTTGAGGATCACTGCATTAGAGGATAATAGTTTTAAATGAAGGCACATTTCTAACAAGGGACCAGATAACGAGGATAGATGAAATCTGCAGACAGTCTCGAAGCTTCATTTTAGCCACTGTTTATCATTTCTCCTCCTACCAAGCCTTTTACTATGAGGCAAAAACTGATTAATTATACATAAATATATCTCTTCTCTCTGTGTCCACATGCTCTGTGATGGAGGAGTGGACGAGAGGAAGGATGGGGCTGAGGACAAGTGCAGTTGGGAATGCATAATCCCCAAACTGGATAATCAAGCCCAGAATAATCAAGATATATTTAGGGTCTTAACATTAATCTTGATATTTAATCATTCTGAACAATGTTAAAAAACAAAAGATTGTATAATAGCAGTAATAAAAATCACTTGCTACGGAATGTTTCAGAGTAAATATGGCTTTCTTTTTAGCATGAAATAGGAATCTGTTGAATTGGTCTTAATGTTCTCTCAGCATACACAGATATAGCTCTGTTTAATTCCATATCCTCTTATCTTATAAGTCCAACATTTAATTTACTACCATTTGAATTGATTTATAGCTTTGCTTAGCAAAAGTACAGTCTTGATTAAAAGAATATTATCACAGCTGATGGACCTGGAAAGCATAGTTTTTTTTTGTTTGTTTTTTTCCTCAGACCTCCTAATAGTTTTGAAAATGACCTGCAGATTCCCATGAAACTAGATTTACAAGTCTCTAGTTTTTGCATACCTGGTTGTACTTTGGACAGTGGTAAGATTAGTTAGGGATATGTTTGATGACATGATTTTCCCCTGTGCTCTTTCCTTATCTATCCTCAAGTAGAAGGTTACCGTAGTCCAGTTTTAGAGCAGGCCTGCTTCAGGGAATCCCAGTCCCCCAGCTAGCTGATCTCTTACCTAAGTGATAGCTATAGCCATAGCCTTTGTCACTTGGGATTCTCCAATCTGCGTATGGGAGAACTCGATAATTTTGCCTAAGGGTTAAATTTTAGAGTTCCAACTGTGACAGATGCCTCCCTGAAACAATATGGAATTACTTTTGGTGCTCATTTCAGTGGAGATGACTTCATTTGCAAAGCCAGTGATTTCCACAGGTTGGCCAGAATCGGTCATTCTCCATAGCAGGCCATTTGTCTCTGTCCTGCTTTGTGCAGTGTGACTATTTCGTGGCATCTGTGGTTCTAGGAGTAAAGAAAATGCTTTGGCTCAATAGGTAACAAAAAGCTCTTATGCTTTGATTCTGTTAAAAACATTTTTACCATTCTCCTTTTTCTACTAGTTGAAAAAAATGAGTCACTCTGGTGTTGGCTTTATAGCTTTGTTTTGAAAAAAATGAGTCACTCTGGTGTTGGCTTTCTTGCTTTGTGGAGTATATTTTTGACCTATGAAAAAGGTTATTTCCCAAAAAAGGATACACTTTAAAATCACCATACTTACAGTTCAGTTTG